TGGTGTTGGTCACATCCCTCCCATGGTGAGGCTGCTCCTGCTCTCCCTGCTCCCCTAAAACGTGACATGTGGGTTATTTATCAGCTCTTCCCCCCGGCACAGTGTGCACGTGACGGGCTTTGGAGATGCTGTGTGATCCTGTGTGATCCTGCGTGTGCTCGGAGGGCAGTGGGAATTTCCACTTGGTGCTCTCCTGTTGCAAACACTGGGGTTTTGGCTGTTAAATATTTACAGTGGTGGTGACACCCTGTCCCCAGGTGCCACTTCACTGGAGCAGATGTTTGTGCTGCTTGGTTTCAGGCCAACATTAGCTTTTGATGGCTCTTTGCTCCTCCACCAAGCGAAACTCTCAGTCTTTGCTGTCAGCTGGTGGGAAACCATCAGTTTCCTTCCGCTGGGGAATTTAAATCCTGTTTTGTGTCACTACTGCCCCCATGGAATATGGCAGTGGACATTGCTGAGGTGTGCACTGGTCACAGATGTCTGAGGCTTGGGCAAAGCCAGTGTTTTCAGACTGTAGAAAACCCAAGTGGAAGCAGAATCAACCCCTGAGTGCTGTAAAAACCTCTGCTGTTGGGATGGAGGTGCTGCAGTTGGGAGTAAAGCTGTTGAAATGCAGAAGCTGCCACGTGTAGAAAACAAAACCAGGCATGACATGGAAAGAAACAAAACAAAGAATTTATGGATACCGTGTCTCGAGGAGGTGGGAAAGGATTTTGCTGGAGAACTGAGGTTAAGTTGTTCTCAAATGGTTTTTGTTTGCAGTGAATGCTGAAAGTGAACCAGGAGCTTCCTCCCAGCGTGAGGAGAAGCTGAACTGTAAAATGTGCTTTTCTTGGTAATAACAGCAAGAATTAACTGTGCAGCTCGTCTTGATGGATGGAAACATGAATGGATCGAGTGCTCCAAACTGTCATTCAGCAAATTGGGCTGCTTGGAAATTCTGATTTAAGCTAATGTCCTAATAATATTTAATTTATAATTCATTTATCATTTAAGTGCATCCAGAATCCTCCTTCCAATTCACGCTTTCTTATTTTGACAGCAAAAAAGAATTCTAACTCATATCAGTGACCAAGTTTCCAGTTGAATTAAATTCTATTAAATTAAGGAGTTTTATTTGAATTAATAATGCTTCTTTGGAGAAGTCCAGACTTTTGCAGGGCCGTATCTCCTGCTTGCATTGGTGTGCTGGAGCATGGCAACATAGATAAGGACAGTAAATGTAAATACCTCCAGTGAAAAGCTGTGGTGGAGTGGGATCTGTTTGAAGCACATTTGGGACTTGGCTCCTTTGTTAGCCTAAAAAAATGCATATAAAACCCCTGCTGAAGGACTGAGTGTGTTTCTCTCTGGACGGAGCTTTATTCGGAGTGTTTTGTTAGGGAATCTTTTGAAGTGCCCGGAGATTTTCAACAAAATGGCTGCTTTCCTCGGGTTTGTTCCTATCTGGATATCAACAGGCTCGCTGCCCTCGGCTCCAGGCAAAGCGCCTCGGCTCCGACATGTAAAATTTAATAGGTGCTGTTGTAAGGGAGATGTGCTGGTTCAGCTTTCATCAGACCCACGGTCATGTTGGCTGTTCCTTTGCTCGCCGTCCGTTTCTGGCTGCTTTCCTTAGGAAAATTCCTCTTTGTAAACAGAAAACAGCCTTAGTAGGAGCACACACTCCGAGCCCCAGGAGTAATCCCGTCTGAGCAGCAGCGTAGCCTGTTCATAACTAATCTTGGTGGTGTTAGTCGTAGGCAGTAATCCCCTGTGCCAGAGGAGAAGCCCAGCAGCTGCAGAGCAGAGGCTGCACCATCCCAGTGCTGTGGAACACAGCGTTGTTTAAATATTCCATTAATTTTCGCAGCGGGAGCGTCTGAAGTGATGGCTGGGGGCTCGTGCAGCAGCGCAGTGTTGAGGAAGGGCTGGAGCAGAACTGGTGTTGAAACATCACAATATTTTGGTGTCCTGGATGCCCAAGGTCCAGGACACACCTCTTGCTGGGGTGGGTGCTGTGGCTGACTCCTCCAACACTGCTCCCAATTAATTGTGAGGAGAGTGTGTGCACATGAGTGATTCCTGCAGAGCGGCTGTTCCTGGTACCCCGATGGTCTGTCTGGCCTTAAATTGCAACAGTCCTTTGTGCCAGAGGTTTTGGCATTTGTTTTTAGCTGTAGTTTGTCTCCCAGCTGCCTCCCTCCCCGTCTCCCGTGTTCCCTGTGTGCTGCCAGCCGAGGTTGTAACTCTGTGCAGGGATGAGCAAGGGCACGGCTGTGTTAATCCTGGCCTCCTGTATCCATGAAACAAGCAGTTCAGTTTTAAATACCACATCTTGGATGTGGCAGGCAGCAAAAGCAGGCAGCCCAGCTATTTCTGGTAGGAGCTTGTCATGCTGCTGGTGTCTCCTTTTCTTTTTTAAATGAACATGTTGAACCTGTAGCTGGAGGAAGCTGGAGCCCAGCAAGGCAGGAGAAGGTGATAATACAGTATAATCCTAAATAACATGCTTTGTACACTGACATTGCACTGCTGGGATACCTGAGGGGATCTGACCCAGGGAATCTTGTTTTGGAAAGCTGTGGTGCCAATGTGTTGGGAAATTGGAGAAGCCACAAATGAAACCCTCTTGTTCTTCATGGCTACGTGTCCTTTGGTGAGTGGCATTTGCTGGATCTGCCTTGTTGTGCTTAATAATCACTGCAGACCACTTGAGTTCCTTATTAATGTGCCATAACTTATCCTGCAGTGCAGGGGGAACCTTCTGTCTTTTTAAAAAGTCAGCTAGAGACCACTACCTCAGCTGCCTCTCAGCCTATTAAGTGATTAATAGGTGTTCCCAGAAGCCTTAATATGTGGCCAAGTGGGCTGCTGTGGCAGAAGGTAGGACAAGACTTCAGGCTGATTTTAATTAAAGCTCTCTTAATGCTGTTGCTTGAGAAATTAAAGAAGTAGTGTTTCTGTGTACATCTGGCAGATCTCTGGGCTGAGTGAAGGCTCCTTGTGTTGAAGAGCTGTGTGCTTTGCTGTCTGAAACTCGTAATTTAGAGTTATAGGTGCTGGTATCATAACCAAGATAATCTAGAGATAAGATTGGTTTATTTACTGAGGTGTATTTTCATCTTTGATTAAATTGCTCTAGGAATTGTGTCTAAGTGAGCTTTTAAGAGCTCCTTTTGGTACTGCTACACAATACAGCTTGAGTTACGGGAAAAGATATTGTGGAGACCCCAAAGGCAAAGTAACCTGGAAGGATCAAAAACTAAACCCTGAAAGAGGCTGCTGCAGGAGCCTTTTGGTGAAAGAGATCTTTAAATTCCCATACAGCTTCTTGTTAGCAGGACTGACTTGGAACAGCTGAACTGCTTGCCCCCATCTCTGGATCAGGGATGGATGCTGTTGGAAAGCTGGTGGCATGTGCTTGTCAACCAGACACCTCATGAATCACAGTGAAGGGCTTGGATCCACATCACCTGGGAGACTGGTTCAAATATGAGCTGGGACCACGTTTTCACCACACTGTGTTTTGGCAATCCTCATCTGTGGTATTTTCTGCCCTATGCTTTGTAGATTTGCCATCCCAGCTGGTCTAACCTTTCCAAAGCTGCTTTTGTTCACATGGGCTTTTTAAGCTGGAAAAATTCTTAATTTGGCCTTAAACAATCTGTGCTGGCATTAATAAGAGTCAGAACACGCTGCAGAAGGAGAGGAGTGTCACTTTTTATAGTATGAACCACCAGACTATTCTTTATGCTTACGTTTTCACCCAAGGGCTTTATTTCAGAGAAGATTTTGTTGGTGTTAGTGGCGAGAGATGCTGCCCTGCTTTCCCCTCGTGCTAATGCAGCTGCTTGTGTGGTCAGGCAATCAAACAGATTGGGGAACTGATTCCATGAAAAAACAACTTAAAGGTAAAGAGAAAATCAGTTTCTGAGCCAGTATTTGCAGCATTGCAGCATAAAATTGGCTGTACTGGGATGGACTGGTGAGCACAGGGCGTGCAGGGATGGGGTGGGATCGCTGCCGTGGGGGACAGAGTTGGCTTTTGGCAGCTCCACGTTGTGGCTGTAGCTGGAGGGCTCAGGAAATCACATTGCTGGTTTCTGTCCTACTTTTCAACAGCTTCAGAGCATCCATTGAACATTGGCCCTCGGGCAAACTTCCATTTTGGTGTCAGATGGCAAAGTACACACAGCAGCTCTCAGGGGCTGCTCTTGTCTCCCTTGCATGGAAATGGTCCTAAAACTGAGCCCAGAGTGTGGATTTAGGGAGCTAAACCATGGTTCTGGGGTGTAACAAAAGCTGTGTGGTTCGTTGTGTTTCCCAGCTCATATAACCAAACCCTTGGCTGGTGGTACAGATTCTACTTGGAAGAAAAACTTGTACACAAGTGAAAATCAGCTTTTATTTTCCATCCTGTTTCTGACCTTTCTAGGCTGTATTTCTTTCCTTAGCTATATGGCTCTGTGAGTATTTTCTGGATCTTGTGCTTTGCGAACATTTAGGAAATTCCAAGGACTTTGTCATCTTACACTGGCAGCCACTTGTGTTCCAGGAGAGTTTTCAGCCCAAGTGTTTTGGTGGTCAGGGCTGGGACAAACAAGGAGTACTCTTGCTCTGCAGGTAGTGTGGAGGTTGTGGCAAAAATAGGTAGGATGGATGGAAATCAGCCCGTCCTGCATTTTACAGACATCCTGAGGTTGCATTTTGTGGGCACACTGGGTGTGGAGATGTTGGCACTCAATCACCTCATGTTGTAGTAGTAACTGATCTGCTCCTTAAGTTTTCAGCCAAATTTTCATTTTATATAGACACCTGGATTTACAGAAGGGTGGGGTTGTTTTTTTTTATTTTTCTATCTATCAAGTCCAGCTTATGATAGTAACCATGTATTGTGTGCACAGATATTGCTGTCAGACCCACTGATTTTCCCTTTGCCTATTCAAAACTCTGCTTGGTGTTCTCCTACCAGTTTGGTTACTCAATTAATGATTGGTTCTCCTTTCTTTCTCCAGAATCCAGCGACTATCACTCGAATACTGCTTAGCCATTTCAACTGGGATAAGGAGAAGCTGATGGAGAGGTAAGCAACCACCTTGTGCTTCAGACCTGCAGGAAATGTTTGTTCCTGGGTTAATGTGAGGCTGGAGGGGATGCACAGTATGTGTGGCAGGAGAATCACTTGTGTAAGCTCTAAATGTTCCCCCTTTCTCAATGTTCCTCCTTGTCTGAATATTATTAATCTCTTTTTGAGTTGTGGAAGTTGCCCATTGGAAAGAGGGATTTCCAGTTTGAACACATACAGGCACAGCATTTGGACAGGCTCTGGAAAAAAGCAAGCAGGAACAGGTCCCTGTTATCTTGCAAGTGTTTTGGGTTTGGGTTTCGCTGCTCTTGCCTGTCATGCTGGCATGTGTATTCCTGACATGTTTGTTTACTAGTCTGGCCAAGACGAAATTGCTTCTGACTGATAATGTTCCTGCCTTGTCTTCATCTCTGCAGCTCTCAGGTTTTCTTCAGTGTGTGTGTGTAACTAATGGCTTGAATTTTGCCTCTCCCTCCCCCTCAGAGCTGAGTGTTTTATGCTTATTTCTCATCTTTGATTCCCATTTGGGGAATGTTGCTGGTAAAAGTACTTTTTATAGTTTGTTGTTGCACAGTGGAGGCCAAATCCAGCTGCACTGGGGTTTTTTCAATGCCAATATTGGTGTTGAAGAGACTTGAGGGAGCTGGAGAATTCAGTTTACTTCAGAAGCTGGGGGGAGAATTAATGTGGACCAGAAGGAGCAGTAAAGACTGTAAAGGGTCTTACTGGTTGTTATGATCTTTGCTCTGAGGGCAGAAGGACTCAGGGCCTGGTTGGATTGTTTGTTTGACTTTCTCTTAATTACCATTTCTTTTGCCTGATGATCAGGGAATGGGAAGATGGCAGCTCTGTGGTTGTAAACCAGGAGCAGTTGGTGGTGGGATGAATGATAAATGTCATTTAACTCAGGCCCTGTAGTTTGGTGCTCTGTCACCCAGGGAAGGAGGAGCAACAGGTTTTCAGACTGTTAGTAATTATTTTGGAGCATAAATATTTCCACTATCCTGGGCTAATGGATTTAGGACACCTTTAGCCCCCTTTGTAGAACATTTTCAGTGATGGTGCGCAGGTATCTCTTCTGTTTTGTTTAACCTAGATTTTTTTCTTTTTCTGAAGTGATTATGTTTTTTACAGCTTTCTAGTCCTTACTTTATTTTCCTGAGATTGACCTCTTTATGTTGGAAGTCTGAAAGCTTTGTGTTACAAATATAGCCACTATTTAACTCTGGCTGCAGCTGTTAAACATTCTGATTTAGTTCCTGCTCTGCAGTGTGTGTCCACTTCTTTGTTTGAGTTTCTTGGGCTGGTTCTCTTGGTCAGGCTAAAGTTCACCCTCCTTGGCTGCCTCCATCTCCCTGTGAGATGCCTCTCCACGAGTGTAACTGAAACGTCATCCCTTTATTCAGTAGGTTTTGTCCCTTCTCATTGAAAGCTTGTTTAAGGCTGCCATCAATTTAAAAAATAAAAATTAGGCTGTGTTTTTTTTTCAAAGGGAGGTGTCAGCCGGTTCCACATGAGGTGCTTTTGTTAAGGCTTTTACAGTTTTCAATAAAACACTTCTAAGTACCCATTAATAGTTACAAATCCCCAGGTAAACATACTCATTAAAATACTTACCTTAATTCTATAGGATTACCCCTGTGAATAATGAAATGCATGACCCTTGCTTATGTAGAGGTGTTGCACACTGGTCAGAGTTTTGGTGCTGATCGATGCCCTGTTGTGTTAGAAAAACACAAAAACGTGATCTCTGGAGTACCTGGCGTTGCCTTCTGTCACTTCTTCACCAAATAACTTCTGTGAAATCCTTTGGAGTGCTCAGCTGTGTTAAAGCTCACAGTGCTCAGGAGGGTTTTGTGATTGCTGTGGTGATAGGTGAGGTTTAAGGTGGGGGGGGGAACCCCCAAAACGTGCATTTTACTTGAAAGTCCCTGTTGTTGAGTGGTGTGTGTTTACAGTACCATGTTTTACCTTAGCTCACAGTGAGTCAGCACAACCTCACAGCAGCCTTATCAAACCTGGCCTGGAGTAAAGCACACAAACAAAGTGGCTTCTTTTTGGATAAGTGGTGAGCTCTGAGCTCATGACATGAAAATTTCCATGTTTTAAACCACTTTTTTTTTTTTTTTAGCCTGGTTATGCATATTTTTAATGAGCAGGTTTGTTATTGTCTGGGCCAGCTTTGTCATGGAATAATTGCACGGTGGTGGTGAGAGGGCAGATGTGTTACAGGTCCACTTACCATGGAGTAACAGCCACAATTAAAAACTGCACTGTCCCACTGGTGAAACACTAATTATTTGTGTTGGGAAGCAAGACTGGGGGCTTGGAGCGGATTTGTTTGTAGGATGGAAGTGGGTAGTGGAAGAAGTACTCGAGTTCAGCCTCTGATATGCTGCATGTTTTTTGGAGAAGAAAGATGTCAAATACTTTGACAGTTTTATTCTGCCTCATAGGCTTGATTCCCATAGACAGGAGAGCAGCAGGTGCAGAATGACCAGGGAACCTCAGGTGGAGCTGAAGGAGGTGCTTCAGCTTTAAACTTCATCTGGATTACCTTCCAGTTTTACTGTGGCTGATGGTGTCCATCCCTCCTGAGGGGAGTTTTGGGGATGAACCTCCTCATAATGAAGAGACTAAAATGCAGCTTTCCTGCTTTATGTGCCTTCTGTGATCATTTTGTTAAAAGCCAAGTGTCTCAGTGGGTACCCAAGGCCTGATTTCATCCCAGGCAGAGCAGCAGCCCCTTACAGGTGCTTATCTTGGTGGGCAACATCCCTGTTCCCTCTGAGCGGAGGAGGGATGCCAGGATGGCCCAGATTGACTCTTCTCTAGGTATCTGGTGCTTTCCTTGGGGCAAAAAAGTCCTTTACACTATTCAACAGAGGCTGAACAGGTGAAAAATGGTGTATGGCAGGAGTTTAGATGTGGAGATATCTTTTACTGTGAGTGTTGTGATGCTCTGACACTCACAAATGCTCTTTCACGGAAGTAAATATCCCAAAGTGTGTACTAGAAGCGTTTTTTTGCAGTGAAAAGGCTTTTTATCTTTGATATTCCGGTGGATAGGATTTGATTATGTCTAGAAAACAGCGATTAGGCAGTTACAGACAGCAGGAGGAAATTCTGAGAAGATAAAGGAGCTGACAGCTTGATCCCTCTGCCAAAAAGACTTGAGACTGTTATGGATTTGGTCTTGGTAAGCAGAAGGACTTGAAAATAATTCACTGGTTTGTCCATGAATTTTAAAATAGCAGAAACCCCAACTTAGTGATGAAGGGAATGCATTTTGAAGAATTAACATAACAAATCCTCATGTATCAGAAAGGGCTGGATTTACTCAGTTATCTGCATTGTGAAGGGAGAGCAGGGCACAGAATTTAAAAGGCTGTTAAAGGTGCTGTGCTTCTCCCTAGGATGAAAATAAGGATGAAGGTACAAAGAACCAACCCTTTAACAGAGGGAACTTGAGCAAAAATCAAAATCCTTGGAGATCTTAGATGGAACCTGTTAGTAAATCCCTTATCAGTTAATTTTGGGATGAACGTTGGAGTTAGTTAATTTGCTTGGCACAAATCTGTTCGGAGGCATTTGGTTCAGAGGAGGATCCAGGGAAAAATCCAGACAGCTGGGAGGATCCCAGGAATGGGAATGGTACAAAGTGTCATGGTAGGTCCCATCAACACAGAGATGGAAAAGAATCTGGGGTTTCTAGTGGAGATTAAAATGGAGCCGCTGACAGGGAGGAGCTCTGGAGAGAGGTAGACATGGTTTGGGGTGCACTGGGTGAGATCTGCAGGAGAAAGACAGGTGAAATTGTAGGAATTGTGGTCAGATCTTGACTGGGATTGCTTTAGTTTTGGCTCCTTGGGCTCAAGGAGGTTGAGTGGAAATGGAAGTTGGTGGTTGAGAAGGTTTGCTGGGTCAGGGAAGGGGAGGAATGTCAGTGAGGAGCTCATCTGCTGTGGTGGGGAAGGGTTAGAGCTGCTGCCTGGGAATCCTTGGAGCAAAGAGCACGGGAGGGGCAAAGGGAGATCTGCCTGCACAGATGGTCTGTGGTGATCCTGGAGCAAGTGGGAAAAAGGGATGCTGATTGGAATCAGGATTTGTTCCTAACCACTGAAGGAACTGGCACAGTCTTTCCACCGAGCCCTTGGCGTGTTTGTATAAGGAGTGGTGGAGCTGCTGGAGAGCTTTATTCCAGAGTATCCGTTGGAATTGTGTGTTTTCAGGGAGATCCAGGTTTTCTTCTGCCTTTCCTAGGGTTGTTGTGGCCCATTACGATTTTGAGTCTGAGACACCACGTGCAAATAGTTGTGGAAATTACTTGCTCAGGAAGAGAATGCATGAAAAGAAAACAGCATGGGGAAGCAGGAATACTTTCCATAGGTATTCAGAAGGTGTGAGTAATTCCAGATGAAAAAAGTCAAGTTCCTGACATGGATATTCATCCTTAAAGACCAGCCCTCCATTACAAACACCTCTGGTATTTCCATAAGCATTTAGCTGGCTGTGAGTGCCAAGATTCAAGGTGCATCATTTGTCTTCATAACTTTTCCTTGCAAACCTTGCAAAGCCCCCAGCTGTGTCTGCTCTCCTCAAATGGAGCATGTCCTGCACTGGTCCTGCTGCCTGGAAGAGCAGTTGGAAGTTGAAGCAGTTGGAAACCTTTTGTGGAGTTAATATTTATCCACGACTCTTAATAAACAAATACAAGCCTGTCATGGGACTGCACTGAATTTACATGCTAAAATTTTCTAAATATACAGTTTTATATATTTATATTTAAATAGAATATATAGATTTCTGAATATAATCCTCAAGGCAGACACAATAACTTGGTTGAGTTAAATCCCTGAGCTAACACTGAAGAACAACGGCAGAGCCTCATGGATGCTGCGGTGCCAGAACTCACCACTTCCTCCCAAATTCAGTGTCCTGAAATTTAAGATCTAAAATATGTGAACTGCATCGAGATACATGTGAAACAGCAGGAAAATTAATATCTTTTAATTGTAAGTCAGGTCTTGTTGGTGAGTAGTGCTGTGAGGGAGCTGGGGAATGACTGACTGGGTTTGACTGAGGGATGTATGTGCAGGTGATGGAGCTGGTTCATTGTCTGATTTAATGAGTTCTTTGCAGCTGCTGCAGCTGGAGAAAGATGTGAAAGATCCAGGGAAGAGGCTGAGCTGCCTAACAACAATTCTTTCCAATCTGGTTCTCCTCCCCAGGTTGAGGAGCTTTTTATAAGCCTTTAAAGCAAACCAGTATCTTTTCCCTTAAGGGAATAGGAAGTAGAAAGAAAGTGGTCTTTTGTCTTCCCCCAACCAACTTTGTATCCTCTTTTCCACAAGGTACCTAATCTTTGGAAGCATTGTAAACCTGGAATTGTATTTTTTAGGAGGTTGTTAAAGAACCTCGGGTTGACTGGAGACAAAAGATACTCAAATGGCTGATGATTAGAATATTAGTAAAAATGGAAGGCTTAAACTGGAAAGAGAATTGAAGTTGGGGCCCTCAAACCTGTGCTTTAGGGTGGACTGCAAAATGGGATGTTCTTGCTCTAGTTTTCCTGTTCTGGAGTTATAATGCAAAGCAATTACTGGGGAGAATCATGAATTACTTGAAATGCAGCTGAAGAATTGAAGGTACTTGAATTTCAGGACTGTGCAATTCAAGTCAGATGGATGTGATGGAGTTGTCCAGTACCCACCTCTGTGGTGTGTTAGTGAAGAGTATGTTAGAAGTAGTGGGTGTGCAAGGTTGGAAATACTAAAAGCAGCATTTATCTCCCAAATAGAATGGAAAAATGACTTACAGAGAAGGGAGTGAAATTTTCATTCTCTCTTGTGTCGTGCAGGTACTTTGATGGCAACTTGGAGAAGCTCTTTGCAGAGTGTCATGTAATTAATCCAAGTAAAAAGTCTCGGACACGCCAGATGAACACGAGGTCATCAGCCCAGGATATGTCCTGTCAGATCTGCTATCTGAACTACCCAAACTCGGTGAGTACCTGACCAGCAACTCCCCAAATTTCCCATCTGAAACTTAACATTCTTCTGCAGAAAGCCTGTGAAGGTGCTGGGGCCTGAGCAGCCGTGTAGGAAAGCTCAGAAGAAAGCAAGCAGGTGATTTTTGGCAAGTTCAGATACGAGCTGAGATGTGCAAATAAATGGTACATGAAAGAAAAAATATGTAGGAAGCACGATGGGCAAAGGGATTTACTTAAATAGAGTGACAGGGCAGGAAAGAGCATTTAAAAGTGGTAAATAATGATATAAAATAGTCAGACTGGAAAGTCTGGAATAAAATTAAGTAAAATGCAGCTGTCTTTGGATCTTCTTGTGTTTGTGCAACACCCTCTCAGTGGGAGGAGATGAGGGTGGCAGTGCCTGCTGGGGCTCTGGGTCAGCCTCCTGCTTGGTGTTAGGTGGGTGATGGTGGGACTTCTTTTTGTGGCTGTTGACAAAATGGAAGCATTCCCATGCTTTAATAACAAGTCCAGGCTCTGCTGTGATTTCCCAGGGGCAGGACATACTGGTGGGAGATCCCAGGAGAAAAGGAGCTGAGTGGAAAGGCCCAAACAGGAGAGTTCATCCGTGGCTTTGCCAAAAGGCAGGATGACACAGTGAGGAATTGTTCCTTGGCTGGAACCTGCCCTTCCTGGGGGAGCTGTTCTGCCCCTCCAAAACACCCTAAACCATGTGCCTGACCTTTCCAGACAAAAGGCTTCACTCTGCTCTGGGTGGGATGGGAACCACAATGAGCTTTGGGGCTCATGAGCAGCCTGGGGTGAAGCCCCCTGGTTGCTCTGGATCCAGCAGAGCTGAGCAAAGCCCAGTTTCAGGCCTCACGTTCTCAGCCTTAAAGGTCACTGTTGGTCTTCAGTCAGGAACCACAAGGCTTCGTGTGTCTCCTCTTAAGCCTTGTGTGCACTGACCTCCCTTTTGGAAAGGTGAGTTGTTGCTTGCCTTGTATGAAAAGATGCTTTGAAAACAAAGACCAGCTTGAGAAATTTGTTTGGCCCTCTCCCTTATGCTAAAATCCTGCTTAAACACTGCAGGCTTTCCATGTTAAGTAATAAGGAAATAAATATGATTTTAGGCTATGCAACATTTTAAATGAAAATAGGAGGAGGGCTGAGGGAGAAAAATAGGAGGAGACATCAAATGGGCGTTGTGGAAACTTCAAATTTAGATGTCATGTTCTTAATATATTATTCTCTCCTTTTGAATGTAGTTGCTGTGCTGGCTGGAGGGACAACTCACAGCTGACAGGCCTTTCCTCTTGCTGGGGCTACATGTGCTGCCTGGGAAGCAGCTCTCTGGCTCCTGACAGCAACTACACAAAGCACACTAATACTTTTGAGCTTGTAGCTCAAATAAAATGTTAAAAATAGTAGTGGCCCCGTTGTCAGAAGAGCAGATTTTTAGCTGGACCAGTGAGAAGTGGCAGGTGAGCAGGGTTGTCTCTGATGTTGGTGTTAAGTCAAGACACATCAGAGGGGAACCTCTGTTTCTTTGCTACACATAAAAGTTGGAGCCTGTAGGAAAAGGCTGTAGTGTCTGTGTCTAAAAGGTGACTGAAATCTGTTTTGAAGCTGTTTTAGTTAATGTGAATTGTGAATTCTAGGATTATGTTTATGTTCAGTGCCTAACCTAAAATCTCAGCTTTGAAAATCCTCTTGCAATGCTAATTTTTTTTTTCACATAAAATCTGTTGGGTTTTTTTCCTGAGATCCCCTTTCAGCCCATGGAAAGCTGAGAGTTTGGAGTTGTTAAGAAGTTTTGCAGTGTTACAGTTATTGCAGGAAAGTCAGAATCTTGAATATTCCCCCTCTCGTGGGGTCATTGCAGGTGGTATTTGTCTACAGGGTGTCTGTAGCTCCAGTCATCTCCAAAGAACTGTGAGCTTAGGTTTTGGGAAGCAAAACGAGGCATTTGATGCTCTCACCCTGCAAGTTTGAAAACTTCAGGGAGATATTTTACCCACTCTCTGTCACCAACAAGCAGTGCTGAGTCCCAGCAGTTATTTTGGGTGAAACCCTTACTGGTAAGACAGGAATGAGAGGGTCGTGGCTTTGCCTCTCTCCTCTCTTGCATCCCACTCTCAGGTTCCTTGGGGGCCCAGGCTGCAGGGTGGGGGTGTTTTTGGGAACACCCTGCTGTTGTCCAGACTGTGGGTGATGAGCACACATGGGGGGACACCAGGGCTGCCTCAGGAGCCACTGCTCCCCTTGCACTCGGGGTTTTATGTCACCCCTTTTGCTTGGCTCCCTTGACATCTGCTGTCAGCTGAGCCAAAAATAATTGGGAACTCCCTCAAAGTAAAGAAAAGAGTCAAGAGATACTCTGAATTCCTTGCAGCCTTGGAGGAAGTGTGGTGGCTGCCTTTCTGTGGGCATTTAGCAAACTTTTTCCCTGCCTGAAGTAATCAGAACAAGCCTTAAATGAAGATGTTTTGTGTTGTGTGGCAGTTCCTCGTGTGTGGCTGCTGCAGGAGTGCTGGGTTCATTAAGGAGTGATCCCCTTGTCTGTGCTTGCTTCTCATCACATGTGGAGAAGCCTTAATTCTGGGAAAAGTCAGTGCTGTCTTTGGGATGGTTGCATGCTGTGGCATCCCAAAAGTTACAGCTGTTGGTACTTGTCAGTGATAATCCTGCAGCTCCAGGGGGTGTCAGTTGGGCACAGCAGCATCTGTGGAGCATCAGATCCCTCGTTAGCTGGCTCAGGGAAGGTTCAGGAGTTGGAAGGTCTCTTTTTTCAGCCTGGTGTACCTGGCACCACGCAGGTGTTGGGCCTCCTCTCTGATTTTTTGTTGGTTTTGTTGGGGTGGTTGTCTGTGTTTCAGATGCTCAGCTCACTTCAGTGACTGCTCAGGTCAGACTGATCCGTGTTGCTGCTCACAGGTTCCAGCCTGTGCTGGTGGCAGGAGCCAGACCAGTGTGAATCACAGCCTGGGAGCCCGTGGGAAGGAGGTGCTGACAGACACCTTCCCTCAGCAAAACCCAGCTGATAGACCCGTGTGGGAGGGACAAAATAAATCTGTGATGGTCAAGGAGGCGGTTTGGGAAGAATATTTTCTTAAAATGGACTCCCCTTTCCTCAGTTACCACCATCCTGCTGCTGTTTCAGGCTGTTCTGCAGAGGATTCCGGGTCCTTTCCTCTGTGGAGTTTCATGCAGGTTGATGGTATCTCAGGGTGGAGTTCTGGTTTTATCTCACTGGCTGAGAAGATGATGGTTTGAAAAGCTAAGCCAGCAAATATTACCTTATGGTGGTACAAGTGAAGTGTTTTAAATACAGTTTTCCTTGCCCCTGGCCCTGGGTGTAAAATAACTTTAAGCTGACCAGAGCAAAGTACCTTAATTCCAGTGTTTCCTCAGCAGTGTTTGCTTCTCCACCCCTTGTGTAACCACTCAGTCCCAGATGGAATCTTGACACACACTGTGCAAGATGCAGACAAGGATGGAGTTGTCCTTGTTGCTGTCTGTGACAGCTGATCATTATTGAATTTTATTTAGCAATTTACACCTGCCAATTAGGATCTGTAGTGTCTTCATCTGATGAGCATCTGGGTTTCAGGGGGAAGTTTCCCAAGGAGGTCTGGGATTTTGGGCAGCACCCACATGTGTCAAGCAGAAAAAAAAAAGAGGAATGAAGACTGTATAATAATCCTATCACTGTGACCTGTTTAGTGTTGCATTTATTTGACTGATTTCCAGAGTCAAACAGGAGAGAGCTCCATGTACACTCCTAAAACAAGGATAAATTGAAATGGGCAAGCAGGATGGAAACATGGGCCACACCTTTCCTTACTGCTGGGGTTGGGGATTAGAGCCTGGCTTTGGAAGCATGACTAAAGCTGCCTGGGCAATGTTCTGTAGTGGTGATGATGCAAAATAAATAGTGTCTCAAGTTTGGTGTGGGAGTGAGAGATGTGATGGGTGAACTGCACAGTACCAAGGAGATTGAAATTATGGAGTGAATCCATGTGATAGAATGATCCAATGCCTGGTGTTCTCTGTCATTGCAGTACTTTACTGGCCTAGAGTGTGGACATAAGTTCTGTATGCAGTGCTGGAGTGAATATTTAACTACCAAAATAATGGAGGAAGGCATGGGACAGGTAAAATGTCAACTTACCTCATGGCTTATTTCTGGAAATTCTGGGTATTGGAGAGGAGGAGGAAAGAAAAGGGAGAGTCTTCCCTAGTAAAGTTTAAAAAATCCAGAAGAGCAACCCAGAGAAAACCCAGCCCCAAAGGTTTGGGGGCTGCAGCCTCTGCCACAGGTGGATCTGGAGGGAACTCTGTGGGGTTGGTGCAGGTGGGGGGAGGAATCTTGCACAGGGCCACACCTGGGATGTGTTGGGAGAGCTAAAGTGCTCTGGTTGCTGTGGATTGTGGTGAAGTATGTTGCCTTGGAATTCTCTATGAAGCAAAAATAGGATAAACTCTGTTCCTCCCATGCCCTTTTTGTGTTTTTCAGACCATTTCATGCCCTGCCCATGGCTGTGATATCTTAGTGGATGACAATACAGTTATGTGAGTACGCTCAGTTCCTACCTCTTGGCTTTCCTCTCTTTGCATTTTGTTACTCATGTGCTGTTAAGATGTATTCAAATGCTTGTAACAGACTGCACCCAGGCTTTCAGACAGCAGAGGAGTCTGTCTTGGATGGTCTGTGTTGATATTGGGATGTCTCTTGACCTCCTGTGTGGCTCTGAAAAACCTGTGTGGCAGGACTGGGAGAGGAAACACTTCCTGACCAGTTTGGTCATGAGAGCAGAATTTCCAAACCTAGTTTAACTGCTTTGTGCATTTTGTTTCCTTTGATTCATGTAGGAATTTGGACCTTCCCTCCCAGGCCAACCCACTGATTCCCCAAGTCCTGTAGCTGTAGGTGATGGGTGAGTCAGAGGACACGAGTCGTAGAGGCAGGTGGAGGGTGTGTTTTATGCCCCTGATAGGAAGCAAGGTACCCTCAAACACCAGATTTGGTTAAGCTGGTGTGTGAGCCTGTGTCACTGGAGTTATTAAGTTATCCAGCTGTAGGGTGACTGCTCACATGTGGTGGAGCAGTGAATTCCATGAGCTTCCTTTTCTTTTATATTGGAGGAGGTTATTGAATGAGTAATATCCTTCGTAATTCTGAACCTTCATTAAGTTCATTTTAATTCTTCTTGCTAAAAAGCATCTCAATGGGGGCTTATTCTGTTACCTTATTCTTTCCTTCCTGAAGCCTGACTCACTCATTGATATTAATTTGCTGGGGTTTATTATCAGTTGCTTTCAGAGTAGTGATTTTTCCCAATCCCTCTGCAGTAGTGGCTCTCAGTTAGTCATGGAGTGTAGGCTGGATGGAAGTGGAAGGAGCTGAAGTGCTTTCCTGCCCTGTTGAGGGGTTGGTTTGTAGAGTTCAGTGCGTGGAAACTGAGCTGAAGTTGGCATATCTTGAGTAACTCGATTGAGATTTTTGTTTACCAGAGTTTGAACTTCAACTTGAGGTGTCGAACGCTCTCAGCAGGAAGTTTTGTGAGTGTTTTCTTGATTGCAACAGTTGGAATGAGCTGTTCAAATAGTGCATATGAAGCAGAGTGGCTGAAATCACTGGAGGCCGTGATGGCAGCAGCAAGGAAAGGATGGGAGAAGAGGAGAGCAGTGCCATGGGATTCCCTCTTGCCTGGAGGTGGCAGAGACAGGAGGCCTGTAATAGGGAAATGGCTCTGGGTGCTGAAGCAACCAAAGTCCCTTTGTCTAAGTAACACTATAAACATTTCCTAGAGGTAAAAATCCGCCTTTCCCTGATCTTACCTGGATTTCAGGGGGAGGAAGGTGTGGTTTTTTGCCCAAGTCTAATGCTTCCTTTAAAAGCCAAGGTGGACAACTGGCAGTCTTAGGAAACAGCATGAATAAAAATGTGAGGAGTCCCAATTGGAATCAGCATCCATTTCTTTGTCCTTAGTTATTCTTTTTTTAGGTCTTTTCCTTCTTATAAAGTTCCAGCTTTCCAAGCTATAGAAGCCTAGGATTAACATGCCATGTGTAGGGACATCAGTCTTCATCCATCAGAACACCGACGCAGATGGGCCAAGTTGTTCCTTTGCTCCCTTCTCAGGACTTGCCCTCACCTCCAAGTTGGATTATCTCCATATGAGTCCAAACTTGGCAATTCAGGTGACTTTCCTGGATTTGTGAGTATTTGGCCAGCTTAGAGTCCTGTTTCCTTGTTGAACTAGAGTGGGAAGGTTGAAGGGAGAGTCTTTTCCAGGACCTCCAGCCTGGCTGAAGGTGATCTGTAGCTATTCCTCACTCACCTTTGCTCGTGCTGCTAGGAGTTGCTTTCACCCCCTTGACAAGTTGTTAACTGCATTAATGAGCAAGGTGGGCTGCCCTCATTTCTGCCCTGGTTGACTCTGCCATCAGCCCACTCAGTGGGAATGGATGGATTTTGAGTTCCTGTTTGGAGGTCATAGGCAATTCTGCCTCACTTCTAATTTATGGTCTGATAAAGGATTGTTCCCATCTTTAGGTGAGGTTTTGAGGTTGTGTAGTTGCAAACTAAGCTCCAAGTTAAAGGCTGCTTTTTCAAGAGTTTGCTGTTCCCACCTGGCTTTTTTGGTGAAGTTGCTTCTTTACGAGCTTTGCTCACAGAGGAATGTACCCCAAAATATGATTTCTGGGCACTGGGCAGGGGTTTCGTCTTTTAATTTGTCTAGTTTCCTTTATGATTTGGCAAAAGACAGTCATATTCCAGGCAAAGTTCTTGAAGGTCTTGACCTGAGTGGTGCTGTAGGACCTGGAGCAGGTGAGGTTGTTGACATGGGGCAATCAAAACATGGTTAGTCATGGCAGGACTGTTCATTTAAATTCCAGTTCCTGATATATTCTTATAATATAATAAATTTTTGAAGTGACATTTACTATGTCTACAAGCCCAAGTATGGGGTATAAAAAAGTGAAATTTATAATTTGTATTAAATTAAAATTTGAGTTTTTCTATTTTTCACTGAGTTGAACTCCAGAATTGCAGGCTTGCCATGGACACAGGGCTGAAGAGATGCTTTGTCAGCTGCTTTGTTTTATTTTAGCCCTGGGAATTGAGCTGCCACGTGCTGTGTTTTATGTAATAACCAGCGTGTGGTTTGGTGAGGAGCTCCCCAGGCTGCCCAGGGCTGGGATTTATGCAACATCCCTAACGAGCATTGGCAGGATAACATGCAGGAGTACCCTTGGGTTGGGCTGCACCTGGAGTGGATAACCCAGTAATTCCAATGTTTATGGCCTGTAGAAAGCCTGTGTTCCACAGGAGGATTTAAACCAGGAACACCACAAAGGGCGTATTAGTCCAGCTTTGTATTCAGACGGGGGAAGACACTTCAGTCATATCTGAAAAACATTTATAAAGGTGCTCAGCTATCCATAATTAAAGTATTTTGGATGTATTTAGACTGGGCAGTCTGCAAATGCCACCTGGGTTGGTGTGCCCAGGAGACAAGTGGTCGCTGTGCTTTTAAAGAGTTCCCATCAGCCTGGTTTTCCTCTCCCAGTTCCAATTGGGAATTAAAGTCCATGTCTGGACTTACAGTCCACATCGTGTATAACCTCAGTGGTGTTGAATTCAAATCAACTTTGTTTTTATGGTAAACAGATTAAAACACCAATAAATTTTTCACCTGAAGCCGTGGCATTCCAGTGAAACCCAGATAACTTGAGGCTTCTCAAAGTTATGGAACCACACAGCGGTTGTTCTGGAGCTGTTTAAAGGGATTTACCACAAAATGTGCATGTTTTATGTAAATGAACTGTTTACATTATTTGCTTTGTTTCTTGGGCTCTTCAGGAAAGTATTTTAAAATAAAAATCCTCACAGCAAGAGGTTCAGTTCTTTTGAAATGCATGAGCTTTCTGTTTTTGAAGCTTATATATATTAAATACAGTGCATGTAGTTTTCATAATAATAAATGATCTAACAAGTGAGTAGAGATCAGTAAGTACAAAAAGTACCTGCAAATGTAGAAGGATGAATCAAACCCATTTCTCTGTCTTAACTTACTGGATATATATGGAAAAAATGAGTTTCCTACTACAGTTTTTCTGTTTTTTCCCTTCCCACAGGCGTCTGATCACAGATTCCAAGGTTAAATTAAAGTACCAGCATCTAATAACCAATAGTTTTGTAGAGGTGAGTTTTTATTTGAAATTTTTAATGATTTCTAGGGTGGTTTTGTCTTGCATATGTACTAAACTAGAGACTTGAGGCTATTTTATAACTGCAGAGCAGGTTTTTTTGCATAATCTCTAATCAAGTGTGACTACAGAGATTGTTTTGTAGCCCTTTGGGTTACAGGGATAGTTGTAGGAAAAGATTAAAAAACCTTTATGACAAAAGACCTAGAGATGAAGAGAATGCAAGAGCTGTTGTTTAATATACAGGTTCTGAGGAGCACTTAATATTTACAGTTCTTGAATGTTCCCTGAGATACTTGACGCTGAAAACCAGGAAACACAGTCCTGAAAGAGAACACACCTTAAACATTTGCCGTTTGAAGTAAAGCTGCAAAACTGTTTTTGGCAAAAGCAAAAATAAAACTTGGAGAAAGCAAAATAAACGTGGAGAAAGGTGCTTTGGAAGGGTTTCCATTATCCCAGTTTCCCAGTTGTGTGTGTTCAGATTCACTCTGGAGCCCAGGATAGGAAGTTACTGGGATCAAGTTTGAAGCCATTGCCTTCAAACATCAAGTCTGAAGTGATGTTTGTGGTGGGTTTAGGTTTAATCCTTTCAAATGGTTGAAGCCATGGCAAAGGGATGCAGGGCAGGAGGTGTCCTTGTGCACATCCCTGTCCCATCCTGTGGGTTTTGTGCTCTGTTCTGCAGTGTAATCGACTGTTAAAGTGGTGTCCTGCCCCCGACTGCCACCACGTCGTCAAAGTCCAATATCCTGACGCCAAACCCGTGCGCTGCAAATGTGGGCGTCAGTTCTGGTAAGAACAGCCAGGAAAAGACCTTGGTGCTGCCCTTTACTTACTGCCTTGAAAGTGTGATAGTCTGTATTCATGGAATGCCAGACTGGTTTGGGTTGGAAAGGGACCTGAAAAAGGTGATCCAGTCTCACCCTGTGCCATGGGAAGGGACACCTTCCACTATCCCGGGTTGCTCCAAGCCCCGTCCAACCTGGCCTTGGACACTTGCAGGGATGGGGCAACCACAGCTTCTCTGGGCAACCTGTGCCAGGGCCTCACCACCCTCACAGGGAAGGGTTTCTCCCCACTATCCCATCTAACCCTCCTTTCTGTCAGTTTGAAACCATTCCCCCTTGTCCTATGCTGTTTTGAAGGATTTGATGCTGGAGGGCAGTATAGGCTTAGATGTTTCCTTAGGACTGGCTTTGGTCTCTCATTAGAACTACTCAGAAGAAAAACTCCCTTGTTTAATTAAAAGTACAATTATCTGCCCTGTTTGCTTACTTTCCCCCTTTCTTTCCCTCACAGCTTTAACTGCGGTGAAAACTGGCATGATCCTGTCAAATGCAAGGTGAGCACATCAAAGTTCTTTTCTAAATGCATGACTTGCAAGTTTAAAGTCAGTTTGTGCAGGACTTAGAAATGAAGCCCAAGCTTGGCCTATCATAGAATATCCTGAGTTGGAAGGGACCCACAAGGATCCTCGAGTCCAACTCTTGTTCCCATCAGGAAGCAGAGTAGCTCAGCTGTTTAGACCACAGGGGGTGAAGAACCAGTTAAATCATACTGGGGGCCCTTCCTGCCATGCTGGGAGCCTCAGAGTTGGACCTTGTGAAGGAAAGGTGCCTCAGCCAGGTGGGAAATGTGTGGATGAGGAGGAGGCTGTTCCACCTGTGACCCTCTGCGGAGGGAGGAAGATGTTTTTTGGACAAGGAGCATTCCTGTATGAGCTGTTTCTGTCGGTGTTTGGTGCTTTGTCAGGCATGTGATCTGTTGTACCAAAGGAATTAGTTTGGTCCTGGACCTGCTGCAGTGCCCTGAGCTCTAGAACTGTTTGTGGAGCTGTCAGAAACTGTAACCAAGCCTGGGATGCTGTGGCCTGTGCAGAGCTCAGGGACAGACAGACATGTTCCATGCCTTGGGGACAGAGCACTTTGCCTTCCTAGGGACACAAAACCTGCCCTTGGAGAGGGGAGGGGAACCCCAGCAAAGGTTCAGCAGGATTTAGTTGGTCTTTCCAGACTGGATGTGGTCAGGTTGTTATCTAGCAGGTGCAAGCAGTGTTTTGCTTTTGTGACTTTGATAAAGCCATGTTCTCAGTAAGGTTTAAAAAAGAAATGAGCATGAGGTGAGCATTGCAAGCCTGAGATAAAACCTGGCTGATGTGAAGCTCGGCATCACAGAGGGTCTGACTGCAGTTTTGGCACATCACTGTTAAGAGACTGGTTTGGCTTTGAAAGGACCTGAAAGGTGATCCAATCCCACTCCTCTGCCATAGGCAGGGACAGCTTCCACTGGGTGTTCCAAGCCCTGTCCAACCTGGCTTTAGATGCTTCCAGGGATGGGGCAGCCACAGCTTCTCTGGGCAACCTGTGTCAGGGCCTTACCACCCTCACAGGGAAGAATTCCTTCCCGGTATCCCATCTAACCCTGCCCTCTGTCACTTCGAATCCATTCCCCCTTGTCCTGTCACTCCAGGACCTTCAGAATAGTCTCTCTCCATCTTTCTTGTCGCCTCCCTTCAGGTCCTGGAAGGTCAAAATCAGGCCACCTCGGAACCAAAATGTCCTTATTATTTCAGAGTCCACCCTGAAGTTTGTGTTGATTCAACTGGAGAACAGCAATGAGTTTGCAGAGGTGTTTGTGGGGGTGCTCGTGCTCGCTGGATCAGGACGGTGCTGCAGGAACTGTCTGCACCTAAATTAGCTGCTGTTTGCACAGTTCCCCAGCGCCTACCCCCCCTATTCCCATGTGGTTGTGTGTGCCTTTCCTTAATGCAAGCAGGTGCCTTGGGAACATTTCCAGTTCCCCTATTTAGACTTAACTCTGTTCTTTCACCATTTTTCTGACAGTGGTTAAAGAAATGGATTAAGAAGTGTGATGATGACAGTGAAACTTCTAATTGGATTGCAGCCAACACAAAGGTGAGGGGGTTTCTCATGTTTTATATATAGATTTTTATATAGATTTATCAAGCAAATTCCTCTGCACTAGGTTTTTTTTTTCTGTTCCATGCTAAGAGCAAGCCTTAAAATGTACAGTACACTGAAGTGCTCTTGTTTGAAGAGCAAACAGGTGAGTTCCTTCAGGTTCAGTGGCGTTTGCTCTCGGAAGAAAGAGTTAATTGGAGAGCCAAAGCTCGGGATTTAGGTGTTTGGGCTCCTGTCTGGCACCAGTGGCTTCCCTAAGCAAGCCTGTGCCTCGCTCCATGTGTGCAACATGTTCCCACCACCCGTGCTGGGTTTGCTGGGATCACTTACATCTGCCTCTGAATCCCAGGGGTTGGCCTCCGGAGTGGTTCATTTCCTCTGGGCAGCATTCCAGGTCTGGACTGGCAGAACAGCTGGTTGAGATTTTATTATGTAAATGTCTTCATCCTAGTTAGCCCAACTTTTGCCTGAAACTTCAGGGTTTGATAATTTTGGGATGAATAAAAGTCAGGGTTGGCGTGGTGGCAAGGAAACAAAAGCAGCAGATGCTCTGGAGGGTGAGGATCAAGCCCGGGGCTCCTGGCTGGAGCCTGAGGGTGGAGGAAGGTGGGGAGGGAGTGAGGAAATGGCTGCTTTGTTTTCTTAGCTCTGTTGTGTAACTGGTTAATGGCATTGTTTGCAGCAGCCTCGCTGCTTTCTGGGGCTGCCTGCCTGGTTTTCATTGAACTGGAATGTTGCATTATGGTGAAAGAGAAACACCCATCCTGCAGTTAGAATCGGGCTGGAATTGGGCAGTGTCCCGTGGGCTGAGGGCTGTGTGTCCCTGCTTGGAGCCTGCACATTGACAACAAAGGGAATTTGCCTTTGTTTGAGTGTGTCCTATCATGGCTCAAGAACTGAACTAGATTTGATCAGAGTTTGTTGGTCTTCAAGTCCTGTTCCTATTAAACCTGAGGAAGAGCAGCCAATATCTTGGAAGAGGCTGAGTGTAAGCACTGCTAGCCTTGGGTATCAAATATTTGGGACATTGGAACAGTCACAGCCATATTTTGCCTGTCAAAGCCCTCAGGATCTGTTGCTGACCCTCAGGGGGAGGATCTTTGGGTTTCCCATCCTGTACCTGACCCTGCCTTGGGAATAATAAGATTGTTTGGGAGGGCAACACCCATCAGGAGGGTGGCATCTGGCACCAGCCCAGCTTCTCTGTTAGTTCCTGGAGTCTGGTGTGAGCAGCAGAGCTGTTGTCCTTGAACAGCACTGTCCAAGCTACTTCCTCTAATATCTTCCAAGACAATCCTATGTGGAAATACTTTGGAGTGCAGGCTGCAACAGGGAGGAAAAACCAACTGTCCTGGAGTCTTGTGGTATCCATATCCATTGAATTAGCTGAAGGACAATGTGACAGTTCTTCTCTCTGAACTGACGCTGGATTTGGTTGAGGGGAAAGTTGGCAGGGAGAGTAACCCACCCCTCGTGCTGATCTCTGCCTTCTGTGGGCAGCAGGGTGGGGAAGGTGGGAATCTCACCCTCTGGCTGCTGGGACATGTGCCATGGGGGCTTCACAGCCCCTGGAGAACTGGATGGGCCTAGAGTCCCCCAGCCAGCACCTCTTCCCGCCTCAGTTCCTGCCGGGCCTTGGCCAGAGCCGCAGAGAAACCCAAGGGTGTGTCTGAGAGGAGCACAGTTCCTCCTGGAACCAAGGAAAAACCTGTCCTGCTGTAGCATGAGTGATAGGCTGGGATGGGAATTGCACAGTTGGAGCACGCATCCATCCGTCCTTTCTCTCTCTCTGTACTTTTCCTAGCAGGAAAACAGGGCAGTCATGCTCGTCGAGGCACGTCTTGTGCCTGCACAGCTGTTGGCTTCAGGGACTGAGAGTCAGAGCCCAAAGTCTGCGTTGAATTTCTTCATTTTGAAGAACGTAGAAAGGAATCAGGTACCATCAGATGCAAAAATCCCCATTTTCAATGGGAAAAACTCTTCAGGTGTTTCAGTTGTGACTACGGGCTCCATTGCCATTTCTTGCTTTTGGAAAGGGCTTTCTGGAGCCATCCAGGCATGAGGCTGAGCTGCAGCCCTGTCCCATGTGGGCTCCAGTCAGGAAAGGACACTTCCTGTTGTACCAGGATGAAGGTGTAAGAGACAAATACCAATCCTCTGGAATGTGGGCTTGAAATCTGGCTAATCCTCTGCAACCGGAGAATGTGAGATACATTTGTTCCGGCTTGTCCTGGGGGACAGAATGGGAAAGGAAAATTAGGCAATTGTTATGTTAGAGAATAGAAAAGTGAAACCCAGCTGAATCGGGTTCTGTTCCCGAACTGGAATGATGTGATGCATTTTTGGATGAATTATGTAGAATGGTCTGAATGAAAAACGAGGAGATTGAGTAGCGAGTTCTGTGGTTTCCGATATAATTTTTTTATCCTTTTGCATTCATTTACTTGCACTTAGGAGACCTAAATTCCTTCTACTTCTACAAAGGATATAGCCCTTGTAGCACTGTGCTGGAGTAGATGGCTTTTTTCTTAAACTAAGCTACTTTCACATGAGTTCAGCTTAACTAAATTAATTTAAAGTTGAGATAAGGCAATACGAGTTCTTTATCAAGCCTGTAGTTCTCAGTCTTCTTGAAGAACAGGGTTGAATAATCCAAGGATTTGCACATTTCTTTCTTTTTCAGTTTGTTGGACAAACTTGGTTCTTCAGTAGTTCCTTTCTTGAGTTAAACTGGGCAGGTTTCAGATATTTGGGAATAAAGAAACCACAGAGATCCATTACTTCTGTTAAGTGGACATTCAGAGGAGTGCAAACTACAGAAAACTTGGATTTGTGCATTTATTTTGGGCTCTGAAGGTGTATCAAGACTGGCTGAAAGTAGCCTAAAAGGAGGAGGGTAAACTGGTTTTAAACCTGAATGTAAGCGATGTTAATCTCCTAAAGGAAGAAGAACAAAGACTAATGGTGCAGATCTTCACCCAAGGCACTGGGTTTTATTGTTGAAGTTAAATTGGTGTTAATGAAAGTTGTTCATCTGATACTAAAAATGCCCCAGCCTTGCTGCTCCTGGCTCCTGGCACATCCCATCGTCACCTTCCGGGCTAGACAGGGCTTGAATGGCTGATGTACAAACCAGGCACATTTTCTTCCTCCAATGAAACTATTGGCCCTTTTCTCCTCTGAGCGAGATAAAATGGCACAAACCCAGTTCTCTCCCTTTTCAGGTCACTTTTTAATGTCTGAACACACGCTCCCTCTGTATTTTCTGGAAATCCTACACTTGTTCTGAGGCGTGGAAGCTCTGGCAGCACTCACAATCCTCCCCAGCACTGAACTGTGCTCCTTCGTTTCTCACCGTGCCGGGGTGTGAACAGCATCTTTCCAAAGGTGTCCAAGTGCCATCTTTTCCTCTCGGATGAGCTGGTGTTTCAAATATGTTTAAAAAAGCTTGGCTCTGTGACTCTAGGTGTTGTCAGGGTGTACTACTTTGTGCTAACCTTAATTAAGTTCAGCATTTTTGGGTTTTGTTGAAAAGCATTAAGAAATCCTGTGGTGTTAGAGAATTCTTTCTCTTCAGGATGGGTTAGAGGTGATGGTGTTGCTGTGAACATGGCTGGGAGGCTGATGGCCATCAGTGGGAGTTCTGGAGAGGACTAATCTCTTTCACCTGCCCTGAAATAAGAAATGTATTTCTATTTAGCCTCCTGTTTATAAAACAGCAGCTGAGGTTTATGGCGGTTTTTTTAGGACAGAATCAGGATTGTTCTCCTTTGCCAGGTTTGCCCAGACTTTTGTTTCCAAGCACAGCATGAAATTGTTTGGGTTGAACAATGTAAATGAGGTCACTTCTGCGTCCTGGTATGACTGATAATGTGCAGAATACTCTGCAGGTTTAGTAACTTGATTTGCTGGCTGTTATGTTGTTGTGTAGCCGTAATTCTCAGGAAGATCTTCTTTCCCTATCCTCCTTAATCTATAAATCTCTTCCACTTGTTGTGTTGGTGGCTTGAGTAGCTACGATTTTTTTTTTCTACTGGTGTTCAGCATTTCTTTAGTATGTGCATTTCATGGCTTTAATTTTTAATCATATTCAACTTCTACACTTTTACACAGCTTTGTGGGTCTGTACTGTGTCACCTCTCTTGCTTGTGCTTTGCTTGACAGGAGCTTGGAAAGGATGGCATTCCCTGTGAGAAAAGGGCTATAATTAGATCCTAGAATCATGGAGTGGTTTGGGTTGGAAGAGAACTTGAAGCCCATCTTGTTTCACCCCCTGCCATGGGCAGGGACACCTTCTACTATCCCAGGTTGCTCCAAGCCCTGTCCAACCTGGCCTTCAACACTTCCAGGGATGGGGCAGCCACAGCTGCTCTGCGCAACCTGGACCAGGGCCTCCCCACCCTCACAGGGAAGAATTCCTTCCCAGTATCCCATCTAACCCTGTCTTGTGTCAGTGGGAAGCCATTCCTGCTTGTTCTGTCCCTTCAGGCCCTTGTCCAAAGTCCCTCTCCAGCTCTTGGAGCTCCTTTAGGCACTGGAAGGGTCTTTTTGTCCTAGTTTGCATCCCAGAGCTTGAAGCCCTGAAGCACTAAGGACACCCTGGAAAGCTTGATCCCACCTCAAAGCCAGGAGGGCAGAACTTCTGTGCTCCTGATTGAGCCTCGCTGGGAGCGAGGTGGCCCCACACCCGGTGGTGTGGACGTGCCCCATGGCACCTCTCTAGCTTGGCAGGTCATTTGGGAACCGTTCCTCCCTGTGTTCCAGCTGTGGGATTTTGCTGAGCAGGAGGGATCACAGCAGCTGTTTGGATGAGCCGTGTCTCCCACCGCGGACGTCGGCACCTCGTCAGATGGGATGTGCCTGGAAGAGCTGCACAGCTCTGCGACCACCGTCTGCTCTGAAAACCACCCGTGGCTCTGTGTCCTGGGGCCATCGTGGTGTGGCGAGGGCAGTGCCACTATCTGTACCTGTTAGCCACAGGCACCCTGGCTGAGGAGCATATGGAACAGGGATCCTCTTAGCCGGGAAGGATATTGTTGGGATAAACCTGAATCTTGAGTCTTGACTTGCTGGTGCAGGATTGGTAGAGGGAAGAGGGCTGCCTGCAAAAGGAAAATAGGTGCTCTGATCAAAGGAGATGGTATTTTGACTGTGAAGTTCACAGAACTGCAGTGACTAATTGGGAAAAAGCTTCCCTGGCTGAGTATCCATCCTGTGGAGGGTCCTAGGGGACAGCTCGGTGTTGTGCCCCTGAGAGGGCCAGCACAGGAGCTACTGTGCTTCACTTAGTTTGTAGTACAGTTACTCTGTAGGACAAACACAGATGACCAGGAGGAGGCAGGCCTGGAAAAAAACCCTTTATGTGCTTGGTTGCTGCTTGAACTCTTTGGTTCGGTGTGTAAATTCTCCTGTCCCAGACAATACAAACAGGCAGACTCTGTGGAAAAGCAGTAATAGTTGGGACACTCAGAGTGGGTGAACAGGAACCTCTTGGATTGTGTCCTGTGTAAAAATAGCAGTTCTTGAGTGATTGTGTGAGTTGGTTTCTCCCTTTACTGAGAGTTTCTCTGAACGCCAGCGTAGGAACTGGTTGCTCTGACCAGCAAAGATGTGCTCCAAGCTGGGGAGGGGGTTTTACAAGCTTCTGACCCAAAAGCTGCAGCTGAATTTACAGGTGTGTGTATTATCTGTTTGGATATATTTGTTACTGCCTTGTAGTTCAAAACTGGCTTCTGCAAAAACTCCTTGAAGGCTGGTGTGGTTGTGGGATGAGCAGATCTGGCCTAAATTGGTTTTATTGTTGGTGTTTTTTCCTCTGCATTTGCTGCTTTCTTGATTTGTTGATTTCTGAGCTCATCGAGACTGTGATATTGGTGTTTTAAAATTCCCAAACTATTCCCCAGATATTTCCCAGTGCACTGCTGCTCTTTGAGATCCTCACATTTGTCAAAGGCCTCTCACCCGAAAGGGAAACCCCGTGTGAGCTTTTGTGGAAAAGTCTTCAGTGAGGTGTCACATGAAGGGGAAAAAAGGGACCTGATGGGAAACGCGGAAAACACCTCAGGAGGAGAAGTGTCTTTTTAGCTGACAGCAGGTTCTTTGAAGCACACTAGATTCTTGCTGCATGTTTTCAGATCCTTTCTGGATGGCATTTTACAGCTGCAGGTGTCTCGGATCGGTAACAGCGTGATACCAGCTCAGTCTGAGCGTGGCGTGGACCAGACACTTGGTGGGGAGGAAAGCCAGACGCTTCCCTGGGCTGTTCCAGACCACTGCTGCTGCTGGGATTTTGGGGAAGGTCATGAAGTGACCCATCCGGTGTACCACTGTGAGAGCAGCAAAGATAAAATGTGTTATTCCTTATTTTTGCTATCTAGCTGCTCCAGTTTTGGAAGTATTTTAAGGCCTGACTCGGAAGAGGATCTTGATGTTCAAAGGGAAGAATTAAATCATGTATTTCACTTGATGTGCTCTCTCTTGCTGCCATGGAAACCCTTCCAAGTTGCCAGGCTGTTGTGGGTCCCGTGCTTGCCCTGCTAACGGTGCTCTCTGTCCTGTGGACAGGAATGCCCGAAATGCCACGTCACCATCGAGAAGGACGGGGGCTGCAACCACATGGTCTGTCGGAACCAGAACTGCAAGGCGGAGTTCTGCTGGGTGTGTCTGGGCCCCTGGGAGCCCCACGGATCTGCCTGGTGAGTTCGGGAGCGTGCCTTGCTGGAGGGCGAGGAGGTCGTGGTGCCAACGGCATGGATTTGGACTGAAATCTGTGGAATCGGTGTCCCCGTTACAGGTACAACTGTAATCGCTACAATGAGGATGATGCAAAGGCAGCAAGGGATGCACAGGAGGTGAGTCCATAACCTTTGGTGACGAGGGAGATCACCAGCCCTGTGGTTGTGCTTTCTGTAAACCTACACAGCTGCTCTGGAGAAATTCGTGGATTTGGGCACAAATCTAAGGGACAGTTAAGTCTTTCAGTGTTAAGATAGGGATGGCTTTGCTGGTATGTGCTACCTCTGTACATCCACAACACACAAGTTGAACCATGCCCGTGGTGTTATTTTTTTACAGCTGGTCTGTCAGTGTGAAGAAAATAAGATTAATGAGAGTGTATTGAGTCATCTTGGTTCTCTTGCACTATTTAGCACACGGTGTCTTTCCCTGCTCTATAATCAACCTAAGGTTGCCCTCTTAACCTGAGCACAGTAATTGTTTAATTAGAATTCTTCATTAGCAAAAAAGAAAAAAAAAAAATCTTCTTCTCACTGTTTGTCATGACTCTGGAAGCATCTGAGTGCTGAGTGGCTGAAACACAAACGTGATCAGGCTTTAGCAGTGTGACTGTAATTACTTCCAAGGTTGGGAGTGAGGATGTCAGAGCTGTGCTAGGAAGTTCCCTGTGCCAGTGAGGCAGGGGCTGGGCTGTCACCTCCAGTGTCAGGGTCAGCGGGGCCGCACGAATTCGTCTGGTGAACGTGAGAGGAAAGGAAGGCCAATGTGCGGGTCAGGAAGAGCCTGGTGAAGGGTTTACTTCTCCTGCAGCCATTACTTTGTTTTAACTATTTGTTTTCTTTCTCCCTAATGGGAATTAACACAGCGATCCCGAGCAGCCCTGCAGAGGTACCTGTTCTACTGCAACCGCTACATGAACCACATGCAGAGCCTGCGCTTCGAGCACAAGCTCTACGCTCAGGTGAAGCAGAAGATGGAGGAGATGCAGCAGCACAACATGTCGTGGATCGAGGTGCAGTTCCTGAAGAAAGCAGTCGACGTCCTCTGCCAGTGTCGTGCCACACTCATGTACACTTACGTCTTTGCCTTCTACCTCAAAAAGAATAATCAGTCCATTATCTTTGAGGTAGGAGAAAATGGGGTTGTCAGGGATTCAGATTGCAAAGCTAAGGAAATAGGGATTTAATGCTTGGAGACCTCTTGGCCCCACTTTTACCAATTTGAGTCTGTGTTAATATTCTCTGGAATAGAATATTGTGTAGGGCTGTCTGCTGGAGGAATCACAGAACCATGAAGCTGTGGCTGCCTCATCCCTGGAAGTGTCCAAGGCCAGGTTGGACAGAGCTTGGAGCAGCCTGGTCTAATGGAAGTTGTCCCTGCCCATGGCAGGGGAGAAGTGAGATGAGCTTTAAGCTCCCTTCCAACACACATTGATTCCTGTGATTCCTGATATCTAATTCCACTTTTTATTTTGGTACTGTTCAGTTGTGCTGAAGAAAAAATATTATATATTTTATATATAAATATATATATATATATATTTACCCCCCCCAAATACTATTTTTCTTTTGTCTTTGCAGAATAACCAAGCAGACTTAGAGAATGCTACAGAGGTGCTTTCTGGGTACCTGGAGCGAGATATATCCCAAGATTCGCTGCAAGACATAAAGCAGAAAGTACAGGATAAGTACAGGTTTGTGTTGGGATACTCCTCTCTCTCAAAGTTGCCTGAGTATTGCCATCCCCTGTGACAGGCAGCGGCCTGAGCACTTGCCACGATACAGTTTTCTCCAGAGTCACATCCCTGGGAAGCTGTTTGCTGTTGGCCTTGTGCCATCTGTTGGGATCAGCAACCAGTCCCTGGGCATCTGGGAGCAGCAGCAGCGGCGGGAGCCTGCCCAGCCCCTGGATCCTCATGGAGAGGCCTCACACAGAGGCTGGCAGTGTGTTTTTGTGCCCCTGCTGGGACCAGCTCCCGGGGGAGGTGACAGCCTGGGGAGAGGCTCCCAGCTCTGCCTTCCATCTGCTCCACAGAGGAGCTGGAAGATCCAACCCCGGAATGGAAAAAATCCTGTGACCAGAAGCAATGGCTGTTCGTGCACTGCTGTTCCTGCACAGAAGGAGCATGTGGGAATGGCCAGGACCAGGGTGGGACTGCACAGCGAGGGCCAAAGAACAAGGAGTGACTTTGTTGTTCCAAGCTGCCAGCTTTGGCCTGGGATGAGTTGCCAGCAGGGAGCAATCAGCTCTTTTAATCATCTGCAGGGTCCGTTTGTGCAAAATGGTGTAGGAGAGCTGTCCCTAAGGAAGAGGGAGGGAGTAGCCTGTCCAGCTGAGGAGGGGAGCAGGGGACTGGGGGCCAGGTGACACAGATGCCAGGGCTTTGTGCAGTCCCTGGGGAATCACTTCTGCACAGTGGAAAAGTACAAAGCTGAAAATGCGGATGAGTCACAGGATTATGGCTTTCATTTCTGAGGCATTTTGCCAAAGTCACTGAATTTGTTATGCCTGGCTTAGGGGGAAGAAAAAATCCAAAGTAGGGTGAGTCGTGGTGACTAATGGACTGTGGGGAGTGGAAGGAGCTGTTAAGCTTTGGTGGGCCTGTGGCCCATCCTGCCCGAGTCATCCAGCCCCAGCTGTGCTGCCAAAGACTTACCTGACCTCCTCTTTGGAGACATTTCGTAATTTACCCTTTAAGGCCACCATTCAGTTGGCATTTCAGATCAAGCTGCTTGTTCACTTCAGTCCTCTGAACCTGGATGCTCTTCTAGGGATGAAATTAAAACCTAATATAGCCTAGAAACAGTATCCCAAACCTGCTTTCACATTTCTGGGAAGAAAATATTCATCTGTCAAGCCTGTGCAGATCCCTCATTAACTAGTTCAGTCATGTCTTAATCATGTCCTGCATGGTGTTCTTTGATGCAAGACTGGGAGCAGGATGTCATCGAGGTGGGTTTAAAGAGCCCTGGGAAGCTGCAGGAACTGCCCAGTGGGCTGGTTTGGTTTCAGCTGTTTGGATCTCTTTGCTTGCAAAGACATTTCTAGAAAACAGGATTAATACCCCTCCCTCCCCCCAGCAGGAAAATAACTAAAGTTGGGAAGGCAGAAATTGTGTGTGTTTGCCATCACATGCTCCCGAAAATCAATGGGACTTTGTATACGAGGGTTTATGTTGCAACAGCTGACAGCAGTGAGGAAAGCCAGGACTGGTGTATTGGGATAAATCTGTCAATGTGAGCAGATACTGAGTGGTAGGTGAGGAATTCCTACCAGGTGTTAGCCTGTGTGTGATCAGGGATAGCTCCCTGCTGGGAGATTCCTCCTGAGGGATGTGTGACCACTGCTGAGCAATCCAGGTTCCCAGCAGCCAGAGCCCCTCGGGCACCATCCTGACCCAGGAACCTGCCTGGAAACTGAACCACACAATTCCCAGCAGGAACTGGTAACTGGTCACTTGGCTCCTGGGTTCCAGTTTCTCTCCTCAGAGCCTGGGTGCTGCCAGACCAGCCCCACAGCTGCCCTTGGGGCCTTGGGAACTCTCACTGAGACTTGGTGTGTCCCCCACATTCCTAAAGGTGCTGCGGACTTTGGGGTTGCTGCTGGAGGAGGTTGAATCCAGAAACACCTGCTACTTATTTAGAATTAACTCTTGGAACCTGAACTCTTTAAATGTTTCTCTGCTTTTTATCTTTTTAGTTGGCTGTGACATCCTTTGCTATGTTCTCTGATACCCCTTTTCCTCAGTGTCAGTGATCCTGGTAGGACTGGGTCAGACTCTGGGATCAGTTTTATGTGCAGCTTTGTTTCAGTGGTTGTAGGTGGGAAGACCCTGAGGGTGTGGTGTCCATCTGAGAGCCAGGTGTAGGGATGTGAGGTGAACCCTCCAGGAAGACCAGTAACCCTTTGGACTGCTTCCATCTCCACTGGGAAATAAAACTGTGTCAGCATTCCTGAGGTTTTCATCATGGAGTGGTTTGGATGTAATGGACCTTGAGGACCATCCAGTTGACCCCCCTGCTGTGGGCAGGGACACCTTCCACTAGACCAGGTTCCTCCAAGCCCCATCCAACCTGGCCTTCAGCACTTCCAGACAGTTTTTCCAAGCTAACTCCTGCATTTTTGTTGTCCTGATGGGGCTCAGAGCAGGCACCAGCCCACGTTTGAGGAGAGCTCGTCCCATTCTGTGTGTCCCCACAAACCCCAGCCGCTGCCTCCTTTTCCAGTTATTCCTGGAGGCTTCCCAGCTGTAGGGACTGTGGGGATACTTTTGCCTGGAAAACTCCCAATTTACACACTGGTTTTCCAGTGAGGGACCTGGAGCTGAGTGACTGGAGTAACCAGAGTCTTAATTAGGGCTGTTAACGGGCTGCAAGTACAAAATCCCTCCTCGGGGGAGCTCCTCTTTGGGAAGCGAGGCGTGATGTAGGTTTGGATTTGATGGTCCCAGGGACGCTCCATGATTCCTAACCCGCCTTTTCCACGCTGTCCCCCTTCCCTGCAGATACTGCGAGAGCCGACGGAGGGTTTTGTTGCAGCACGTGCATGAAGGCTACGAGAAGGACCTGTGGGAGTACATCGAGGACTGAGCCCGGCCCTGCAGGAACGAACTCTGAACCCTTTCCCATCTTAGAGTGCTCATGCAATTCCAATAAAACCCACCCAGGGCGCTGCTCCGCCTCTTACACCGCTGGTCTGTAGTACCGGGATTCTGTTTTGTTAACAGAAAAATTAAGTAAATTATATTGTAATAAAAAAAAAAAAGGTAGATAAACCATTGTACAACAGTATTCTAGGCGGCCAAGAGTGTGACAGACGCACTAAAAACCCTCCAACTTTAACTTGTAACGTAGCTTCATCCTCCAAGCCGACTCCTTTTTCTTTTCTCTCTTTCTTTTCCTGTGTGTAGTACAGATGAAATTTAAACCAGTTTCTTGACACTGCTTTTCATGTCCAAACCAGCCATTTTGATGGACTTTGGTAAGGGGGGGGTGGCTCTCCCGCCCCCCTCCTCCTCTCTGCCACCCAAGTACACGGATGAATGTGGATTATTGGCTCGTCGTAAAGAGGATTTTTGGGAAGGGGAGGAGGGGGGTACACAGCAAGGAAAAAAAAACAAACAACCTTTGTATATGAATTTTAAAACAAAAAGAGGACAACACAGTATTTTTCAAAGTTGTATATAGCGCATATGCATGGACAAAGAGCAAGCGTGGCACGTGTTTGCATAATGTTTAATTACAAAAAAATATTTATTCTTTAAAAATCTTCAAGATTATGTCTATTTGCTGTGCATTTTCTTTCAGTTTGATTCTTTTGTTTGGTTTTGTTCTTTTTTTTTTTTTCCCTGGGCTGGGGGTGGGGGAAGCGTGTGCTGGTGTAGTGAATATATCTATATATATTTTATTTTATTTTTTTTTTGGAAGGCTTTTACCAGAGCAGTTGGGTTTCTCCTCTTATCCTGCAGTTCCTTTCTGTCCAGGGCCTCCCCCCGGGCCTGTGTGTGTATCCATTGCTGGCGACGGACGCGGCCCCTCGCAGCTCCTGGAGCTCTGGGTCAGGATGCTTTGCCTTTTTTCTTGTTTTATTTTCGGCCCCCGGATCTTTTCCTGCCCAAATCCAACTCTCCGTTCCCACCTGTGCACGCAGGACACGTGCTCTGAACCCAGAGGAGGGGTGTGTGTGTGTGTGTGTTTAGAGGTTTATTTTGGATCCCGAGGCAGGACAAGGAGGGGTGTTTGGCACCACTTCTCCAAAGACTTCCGGCGAGATTTCGGCTGTGGATCTCCTCTCCCTCCCCCTTTCATCTGTCAAATGGACCCTTCCTTGCTGTTTTAATTTTCACTTACATTATAACGAGTCGTAACATTGAAAAGGAAACCTGATGGAATTGTCTTTGTGTTTGTTTTGGGCTCACTCACTGGGCGTCCTGTCCTGGCAACTATTTAACACTCCATCTAGTGCAGTAGAAGCTGAAATCAGCGGAGTATTTTTCAATTAAAAGGGGAAAGAACTAATGAGTTTAGCTACTGAGTCCATTTTTATGATTTCTGTAACAAGAGCTATGTTAAAGTAAACAATTGGTGGTGGTTTTATTAAATTTACTCCTGTATAGGAATTCCTCCTGTGGTATTTTTCGCCAGGCAAGTGTCCTCCCAACCTTCTGCCTCTCTGCAGCATCCAGGGGGATCAAAGGTGTGAAGGGGTCAAATAAAAAAGGCAGGGCTAGAACATGGAATGCTGCTTCCAGCTGGCACCAGAGTCACACTGGCTCCCTCACCAATGCTACTGATGTTCCAGGGATGTAGTTTTATCCCTTTGTACCTGCTTTTCCCTTTATTTGACCTGCAAGTCAGATGTGAGGGACTGCAGCTGCTTTCCCTGTGCTTTTCCTGATGGTGCTGGAGGGGTGGGATGGCACGGGCTTCCCAGTGGGAATTCTGCATTCCTGTGTTAAAACACACGGTGGGCTGGGCAGGTGGAAGAACACAAGTGCTGGGTTTCCACAAAAGGAACACACCGAGGATGTGGGCACTGCAACCCAAAGGAAACCTGGGCTGTGGCGTCCTCAATCCTCGTGGCTGTTGGAAAACCTTGATAATGGTAATTAACTCCCTGTTCTGTGGGAGGACCTGCTGCAAGCCAAAGGAACCTGGGCTGTGGTGTCTTGAATCCCGATGGCGGTTGGCAAACCTTAAGATAACGGTAATTCCCAAAGGAAACCTGATCTGTGGCATCCTCGACCTTGATGGCAAACCTAAAGCTAATGGTAATTAACACCCTGTTCTGTGGGAGAACCTGCTGCCGTTCCTCTCCTCCGGGTTCCAGTTGCTCCCAGGTGAATTACCTGGCTATGAGGGCGCCATCCCCCCGGACGCTGTGGGAATATAAAGGAGAATAAACAAAAGCCCTCACGCAAAGGTCCCTCCCTGCTGCTGCACTGTGGGGTTGGGCGAACGGGGCCGCGGCCCCGCAGCACTTGCCAGGCCGTCTCTCCTCACTGGCGGCCTGGCCGCCCACTCGCCTCGCGGGGTTCCCAATAAAACCCTCCAATAAAGGGACATTGTATCATTTCTGTGTTTTCTCGGGTGTTTTTCACGTCAAAGGGGACGCGGGGGGGGGGGGGGACACCCGAGGTCCTCTCGCCTTCCCGCCGCCTTCCCGCCCTGCCCCGGGCGCCATGGCCGCCCCGGAAGTGGCGGGCGGTCGCCATGGCAACCCCGGCCCGCCGCGGCCATGGCGGAACCGCCGGACGCCTCGGTGAGGGGCGAGAGTCCGCCGGGTTACGGGGGGCGAGAGGGGACCGGCGGGTCTGGGGGCGAGCGGAGGTGGAGGGAGGTGAGGGGCGGCGGCGGCGGGAGGTGTTTTAAGCGGTTAAGAGGGGTTAAGGTTAAAAGCGAGTTTTTAATCTTTGCACACTTGGTATGAAAAACATGAGGGAAATTCAGCCTATTTTGAAGTAATTAATATAAATAATCGGTTAGCAGGTGATGGAGCGTGTCAGCGAAGGGTAGTGGAGCTGGGGAAGGGGCTGGAGCACCAGGAGCGGCGGCTGAGGGAGCTCAGCTGGAGAAGAGAAACTCCAGGGAGACCTTAGAACCCTTTTCCAGGGCCTAAAGGGGCTTCAGGAGAGCTGGAGAGGGACCTGGGACAAGGGCCTGGAGGGACAGGACAATAGGGAATGGCTTCCCACTGCCAGAGGGCAGGGTTAGATGGGATATTGGGAAGGAATTGTTGGGTGTGAGGGTGGTGGGGCCCTGGCCCAGGTTGTCCAGAGAAGCTGTGGTTGCCCCATCCCTGCAAGTGTCCAAGGCCAGGTGGGACGGGGCTTGGAGCAACCTGGGATAGTGGAAGGTGTCCCTGCCCATGGCAGGGGAGTGTGGCTTGATCACCTCTAAGGTGTCTTCTAACCCAAACCACTCAACGATTTTCTGATTTTTTTTTGTGCTGGAGGGTGGTTGCTGTGAATTCCCCCAGGCCTGGGTTGTTCAGTGTATCTAGAAATGATCTGCACAAAAGCCTGACCAGAAAGTAACTCAGGTGAGGAGGAAATACAAGAAACTGCTGGGAAGTCTCAACAGTGCTGAGTGAGACAACTTAGAATTGGATTGATGGGTGCAGATTAAAAAAAAAGTTTTTAACAGATCAAAAAAATGAGGGGTTTGTGCTGGTTATTGCTGCTGAGGAATGAGTGCTTGGCTTTGTGGAATTGTGTGAAAATATCCACTCAGCTTTTCACAATCAGCAAAATGAATAAAATTTTAGAAACTAGTAAGAAACAGGAAAAAGTAAACAGTAATAAAAAAAAGGAAGAGCCTTTCTTAGGTTATTTTACATGTCTCAGGTACTGTACTCAGCATCTCTGATCCTCCCCATCTCCAGTAAAGAATGATGCAATTAGAAAATGTTCCCAAAACATTGCAAGGAGCAAGGATTGACTGAGTCTGTGCTTTAAAAGATTGTTAGTTAAGGAGAGGGGAGGAGACACAGGTGTATGAAATCCTGTGTTGTCTCTGGGGAAGAGTAGTGAGGAGTGTTTCTTCCCCAGATATTGAAGTAAACAATAAAAGTGCTTCCCTGTGTAATCCTGTTTCTCTTCTGGGAAGGCTTGATTTTTGATGCAAAGTAAGAAAATGGTAAAAAGTGCATTTATCTTCCATGGCCTGAGAGCTCTGGGCAGTATTTGCAGGTCGAGGTTTGCTGCCCTCACCCCCTGCGGGCCCGGGGGGTTCCCCAGGAACAGCTCTGCTCTAATTACCTTCATAAATATTTTATAATAAATGGGGTTTTTTTTACTTATTTTCTGTGTGAGCTCTAATTAGCATCCTAAATGCTTGGGTATTGCTCTTTTGCAAGGTAATGCTGCCTTTCCAGGATGCTGATGGACAGCAGTGAACCCACGGAAGGGGAACGAGCTGCACAGTGAGGGGGTCGATTTAATCTACCCACGGAACAGAACTCTCGGCCTTGCTTGGCAGGGCAGAGTTTGTCCAGCAGCAATGCTGCTATTTTTATGCTCTCTTTTGGGATTTGCCAGTTGTCCTTTCTGATTATTTTCTGGAGCAGAGCTGCAGGAAGCCTTGCCTGGTGTATTTAGTGCTCCTGTTTTCTGTCTTTCCAGGTTCCTTCGTTGCCGGCGGCTACAGAGGCTCCGAAACCCCGGCCCAAGAAAGGTTTGTTTGAAGATATGATTGTGTTTCTTGGGCAGGTTGGTTTTAAGATTTCTTTTGCAGTGTGTGCAGCTGTCTAGGAGGAAATAAATGTCCTCTGGGAAAAGAGGAGACTGTCTAGACTGCAGTTTGCTGAATACCAATATTTTCCTAGGGTCTCTGTGAGCTCAGTGCTGTTCCTGGCTGACTTAGTGCACCCACAGCCTGCATCATGTTTGCTTATAATCTGTGAGACTGTTTTTTTTATTGTGTACTTACTTGTTGGGCTGCTAATGAGTTTGATCCTCATTTATCTTCTCAAATAACAACAGGGGTTTGTTGAGTTTGGGTTCTTCGGGATGGTGTCTTGCTGTGGAAATGATCTTAGGAAGCTGACATTGTGTCCTTTTGGGTGTTTTATGTCACATTTTCCAAGATTTGAAGTGGTGACTGGGTTTAATTATTCTCTGTTTGCTTTTGTTTGTTGATACTGGTTTTTTTTTCATGTTAAAAACGAGTTAATCGGTTTGAAATCCTGATTGAATCTGAACTGGAACAGGAACAATGTCAGCTATTGGTTCAAAAGACTTGACCAAATCCTGCTGTTTTGTGAGGGACC